AGACCGATGAATATGGATGAGCGCTCAGGGCGGAAAAGCAAATGAATCCACTTTGCACAAGCGTTTGGGGTGAGTGAGCCGAGCAGTGTCTGACAGAGAGGCGGCCATGACGGAAGCCAAAGGACGGTAGAGCTGTCACTGAAAGAGGCCCCAGATGTATGTGAATGACAAAAAAAACAACCCATCTTTATTTAGTTCAAAGGTTTTATATCTGTAGTTACGTTTTGTCAATGTGTTTTTGGAGAATCTAACGTCATGTCTTTGTCCTATAGCTAATGATTGTTAGACCCAGAACAATGAGAACAATATAATAATAATAATAACACAATACATTTGCAACAATGTCAGTTGAAATATGTAAGAACAACTCACATTTACTGGAAAGCAGATTCATCATTTACTTATTGATCGGTGAGTCTATTGATCTTAAATCTTAAATTTCCATGACATGTGTACAAATATGAGAACCTGCAATATGCAAAGTTTATATTTAGATATATTTTGGGTTGCATTGGCTTGCTCGTACCCAATGGTGCTGGATGTATCTATGATTGGAAAGTTGCATTTCGATTTGTTCCTGGACAAAGACGAGCCAAAGCAGGTCTCCAAACGCCTTTGAAGGAATGAAAGTGTAGCCTCCGGGTGCGGCTCAAACTTGTGACGTGAGCAGAAGTTGAGAATTTTGTTCAGCTAAAACGTAGCATGCTTCTCGAGTGGAAAATCCCAAAGTTGCTCCCATGACAACTATGTGTATCTCCGAGTGGTCAAAAAAATCAATTCTGCAGCAGACTTTTGTACAAAACCGCACTTTTTAGGATTTCACTTGGTTCTGGGCTGATGCCCTGCAGCTGGCGCCCTCTAAGGTCGCTCAGGTGCTCAAAGACACAAGTTTTGCCATTTTCTCGTTACTTTGTCCATCTAAACTCTCCACCGTGCACAGGACTCCATTGATAAAACAAAACTTCCTCATGTTGGTCTGGAAGAAATTCGTGCAGTTGGAGGTGTTGATACTTCGGGGCAAAGATGCACCAAAACAGAGCAGCTTGTTACCGACTTTCTCACTTCACCAGTATCTCACTGGAAACTGGGCATCTGTGAAAAATTCAATAGTTCCAGTTTTTATTCTTCAGCAGGCTTCCACCTCCAGCACAGCCCTGACCTCCAGACCAGTGCACTGCACAAAGGCTCAAGGTGACTGTGCCAATGCAAAATGTGGGTCTGAAAAACTTCAGCTTTTACACATTTTTATTGAATATTAGAAATAGTAAAAAAAAAAAAAAGGAAAAGAATTTTACACAGCCAATTAATAGTCAACTGTTGAGGTTGGTCCAAGATTTAAGTCGAGTAAATTAGCAAGAAAAAACTAAATCTGCAAAACACATTCAAATGAATGTATTTGTAAGACTCCGCTGCCTTTTCATAAAACACTGACAGAAAATCTCCTATGATTCTGTCTTTAACAATGTTCAAATGGAGATGAGTAAGAGCTAGACAACAAAAACAAGACAGAAAGCCATTTTGAAAATACATTCATTTCTAAATCCTAATATTTGCACAATTCAAGGGGCCATCACATATCTTTAGAAAAGTAAACAGGGCTAGAGAAGGAAAACCAAATTTCAAAGTAATTATAATCTAAAGATAACTTTTCTAAGAAAAACAGCATTAATAAAAAAACAAATTTCAATACCATGAAAAAGTATTCTTGAAATATCAGAAAAAAGCCCTGACTGGAATGTGCTGGCGACTTTGACTTCATTGCTGAAGACTGTACATAACTGTGTATAATAGAAGATACACTTAAACAAAACTTTGCTTCATTTTACAGTCCACCTCTATCAGCAAATATCATATTCATTCAATCCAACCTTGTAGATCACTGAGAACATGCTGTATAAAATGAAATTTCAGTTGTAACTTGGAATGAATGAGACTCACATCTTAGTCAAACTCAATAATTAAAATTCCATTCACCGGCGTGGCCACGATTTGACAGAAACGTTAAAAAGTTACCAAAAAATGTCTCGCGCTAAAGCAGATGTCTCCTCTCAAGCTGGCAGCATACCGAATAAACCGCTCATTACTTTTCCGACCACTCAGAGGCGGTTCAAACGGGGATGCTTGGCTCTCCGAGGGGCCCAACTTCCTGCCAAGAGAAGCCGGCGTTCGAATCCTTCGCGTAGAGACAGCAGGAGGCATCTCAAAGCAAAAAGTAAAGTTCGCTCACCGCGTCCCCTCGAGGGCGTAGGGTGCGACGCTTTCTACTCTCCGTGTGCAAAGCATTCCGTGTGGTGTGTGGCAGCAATAATCCTCCACAGCTCATTGGGCAGGCTTATTGGATCTTCCCTTGCAAGTGAAGTAAGTGGTGTGCTAAATTGATTCATATTTTTTGGGGCGAAGGGGGATGTGCTGCTAATACGTTTAAAATTACATAGGCAGGGACAATGCTGGCGCCGTCCAAGCGTTAAGAGACATGCACTTATAGGCAGTGACAAATTTATCTCAATCATTTCAGCTGAATTACTTTACTTAGATCTGAGGGCTCAAGTTAAATGACTGCAGAAGTGAGAGAGCAGCAGTAGCAGTAGTAGGAGTGATAGTAGAGGTAGAACATTGGTTAAAGAAGCAATGTCTACGATTTTCATGTCGAGTCAACCCCTCCCACCTGTTAACGGACCTCAATGGAGCAAAGCCAGACCAGACAAAATGTAGTTTGTACTATGGTGTGGTACGACCTGGCTTTTGGGGCTAGTATTATTTATTATTATCAGAAATCTATCCATTTTTTTCGTATATTTTTTCAAGGGCTTACTTCCAGTGTTTTCGTACAAGCATCATAACAGTGATTGACTTTCTGTGTCGTTGAGCCTAACATTAACTCTAATTGAAAGCCTTAATGAACGCAAAGACCCAGAACTCTACGTCTGTTGAAAGCTTGTCTTATGCGAGAGATGGATTTATCTGACTCAGTGGAGCGGAGTGCGGTTGTCAGTGCGGCTGTCAGTGCGGCTGTCAGTGCGGACGTCTCAATCCGGATGTAGCTGCGAGAGGTGTTTCAGTCCAGATCTGGCATCCCGACAGTCGGACCAGGAGCCATCCACTCCACTGAACACATCTACAGTACATGATCAAGCCAAGTGTAAACAGGAACCAGAGCGCCAATAGTATCATTCTGCTTCAGTGATTACAGGTATTTCTGCTAACACGGCATAAAGGACTCCTAATTTTTGACATTACTTTCGTGGTCACGGGGAGGGGTCTGGAATCTGACCTGTATGTTTTGGACTTTGGACCTTTATCATATCTGTGTTACTGCTAAACATTATTATCTCAAGAACTGAATGCATTTGTTTTATAGATAGATCGATAGATAAATATCTGATAGATAGAGAGAGAGATACAGATATATAGATAGACAGACAGACAGATACAGTAGATAGATATATAGATTGAGAGATATTGTAGATAGAGACGCATACTGTAGATACTGAGACAGATAGAGAGACAGATAGAGGCCCTGTTTATACTGAGACGCTGCGCAGACGTTTCCAGGCTATTAACAGAAACGACCTGGCTCCTAATGCAAATTTCTCAGCGTTCACATGAGGTTGAAAAACAATGTAGTTCTAGCGCCCGGCCAGTAGTGGGCAGAGAAACTTTACAACACTCACACGACCCCCAGCCCCGTGCCCAGCCCCCCAGTGTACTCACTTCCTGTGCCAGACCCTCAGAATGCACCAACATCATTCTGCCTTTTAACAGCAGCTGTGAAAATGGAAACTGAACTCAGAGCTTCGCGTGGTCTCGTTTGGACGAACGAAGGAGGCGAATTATCCTCTGTGCCGCGCTGGAAGCCCACGAAGCTAGTTAGTGTGACCGCCGCCATTGTTGTTTACGTTTGTTCTCCGCTACTGCGCATGTCCAAATTTACGTGCGGGGAGCAGCGTGGAGGCGGGGGTCAGAGCAGAGGGGGATTTCACATCTTTCTCCCTCTCGCAGGTGTGAAAGAGCTCCCCGCTGTGCAGCGTATCTGAGTTGTCCCACTCTGCAGGCTGGATCTGAACACTTACGTTTTCACCTGAAACACAGTCTTTGTATGAACGGTTGATAGAAACCGACATCCAACTATAGCGTTTTACTGCCACATTGTCTCCGTGTAAACTCAGCCAGAGACAGACAGACAGACAGACAGATAGATAGATGGAAAGACGGACGGATGGATACCTTATTGATCCCCGTTGGATAGGCATGTTTAAACTAAGGCAAAACACAGCCCTCAGTATCATTATATACAGCCCTTTGCCTTGCTAACCCAAAAGCAGTTTCCATGAAGACAGATTCACGGTGTAATCCAGCCAACTTCAGCTCTGCCAACATAACCATGCTGTACCTGGTGGTGAAATTCATAGACTGTATAGGACTTTTTTTGACTAAACTGACATTAACTTTTGATTGTATGATACTAATGTTACTGGTGAGTAAACCTTTGTCATTCAGCCAACTTCATCTCTGTCAAAGATGAACCAATATAGACATTTCACACCTAACCTTAAAGCTCATAACAGCTTTAATCCATCTAACCCATGTTGTCAGCTCTTGGGAAATTTTTGATGAACCAAAGTGGCCCTCTTACTTTTAAGTTTGGACACCCCTGCTGTCGGAGACTTTCAGGTGTCCAGTGGGTTCAGCTCTCTCAAGGATTACTCTGTTCTTATGCACACTGAAACACATCATTTAAAAGCTTTGTGTCTTCTTTTGTTCAATCTGGAGGAACCTGATAACGAACCGAGTAACAAGAGCAAGAGAATGTGCTGTCTCCGTCTCAGTTCTCGACACATGACAACAGAATTAGAACAAAATCTCACACCCACCATTCTGTCTTGCTCCATAACACACATTTCAATACACTTTCCATCATGCTTTTTCCATTCAAACCCAAACATTCAAATTGATTCAGCTCAAAATGCTCGACAATGCTCCTTTCAATGTCCCGATCTTACCGTTGACGACGACAGCTATGTCCACAAAGTCGATCTCTCCCCTCGCCTCCACGCTGGCCTCGCAACGGTACACTCCTTCGTCGGCTTTGGTCACTTGATGGATTTGAAGGTTGTTATTGGGCAGCACCATGTACCTGCCTGAAGTGATGACGCAAAAAACAATGAACATAGTTAGAGCAGGAAAATATCTGAGAAACTAGAGATAAGAAAGTTACCGAAAATGGTAAGATTGGACAAAAATCCGCTAGCCAATCCTATAACGCAGATAAGGCCCAGACAGATAAACAGTGGTCTAATTAGAGAGGTGGTAGAGGTGAGATAAGAACGAAAATCTATTGCTTCTCACTTTTATAATCACACAGGCCCATTGTAATTACATCAAAACTGTGTGAATAATATCTTCAAGCTCATCTATTATGTGAATTTCATTTGATTTGGCTCGTCTTTGAAATGTCTAAATCTGGCTAACAGTAATGAACACAGAAATTCAGTATTCACACCTGCCTTCAACACATGTGTGGGTTTTTCTTTTTTAAATTCTTGTTTGTTACACACAATAAAATGCAGCTATGTGACGGTTATTGACAACAAGTACAATCTGTGTGTTTTTTTGATATTCTACCCCCTTCCCTTTACCGCCCTCCTCCACAATTTGTCTCCAGGTTGAGTGTATTTCGTAGGATTCGTGCTAAGTATAAAGGGTAAGGGTTAGTTTTTCTAGGTTTTTTCTGTTATACTGTATGTACTACCACCAAAGCTTATTCAATGAAGCGGTTGAAGATCCCCTTGTATTACAGTTGTGAAGATATTTTTCTTTTTGCCGACTGCTTGCCGAAGCAGGACGGTCTGATAGACTGTTAGTGGGTTTAACAACGGCTTTGTTAAGTCCTCTGAGATAACCACTGTTGTGATTTAGGGCGATACAAGAATACATTGAATTGTGTGTGGAATCCATTTGTCCAATTTTAAAATCAAGCAAAGAAAAGCCATTGTCTATCTGCTCCCCTACACTTTGCTTGAACTAGATTACACAGCCTATACTTGCCTCTTATTGCCAAATGTTAAACTTTTACACCTCTTTTATTATTATTTTCAAGATAGAGATTTTATACTTGTTATTGATGCTAAAGTTAGATATTTTGTTTTATTTTTATATGTATAGCTATTGTTCACTTAACTTGTGCCGTGTGCTCCTCTTTCGTACTGGTCTATAACTTGTGATGCAACACTGAAATTTCCCCACTGTGGGATGAATAAAGTATCTCTTAATATTAATCTTAATCTATTACTACCACTACTACTACTACTACTAATACTACTGTCTAAACTAAATCTCCATTAACACACTGTAATGGCTTAACTCTCCCTAACTGTCTCAAATCCCACATTAATAAAACACAAAATTATCTTTTCATATCGCACATAAAATATTCATTAGCTTCATATTTAACGGACTCGACATCGGCTTAATGATGCTACGGCAAGTTACTTTATGCATTATTTCACTCACAGGCTTGGCGTCTATCTGCTCCCCTGTTGCATTACATATTCATGACTAAATAAAATGACTGTAAAACACCACATTGGCGTTTTCTATAAATAATTGGAATTTGCCGGCGTTGAGGGACAGAGCGTGTGCAGAAAAGCAGTTGCATATTTTTACTTGGATTTAGTTTGGCTACAGTCCGTCGACATGGAGATAAAAGCAACAAATAGTATTTTTACATTCTGATACATTTTCACCCAATAACGAAAGTTTGCCATGCTTCCCAATTATTAACTTTTTATAATATATATATTTTTAAATATATAAGTAATGGAAACTACTTCTATTTAGCATTTTATTCTTTAATTCAACCAAACCTGCTTCATAGCTCTACCCAAAAATTCAGATTTCTTTAAATAATGGCACAGCAGGTGTCCGGTTTCAACAATACCTTGAAGTAAATTCAACATTGCTGTGACAAACCTGTCTATTATTAATTCAAAAACGGTCTTTTACTGCTTTATTCATTCCTAACAAAGGCAGGGTTTTCAGGTTCATAAAGACGGCTGATTTTCTTTAAAAAATCAAATACATGAGGTTAATTTTTGCTTGTATTGTTTCTGCCTGTGCACACTTGGTCACAGTGTTCTGCAGTATTGACTGAAAGGTTTTATGTGGACCTTTGTGTCTGAAATAATATTGAAATAAGAAAATAACAATAAGTGATTGATGTGAATATATTCTCTTGGGTTAAAAAAAATATTTCAATAACATGATTTGTACTTTATAGTAGCAATATGTTATATGCAATATATTCATATTCATAAGTCTTCATTAAAGGGCCCTAATCTGTCAAAAGGCGTGGTCCAAAGACCGTGGTCTCATGGTCTTTTCCAATACTTCTTTAACTGAGAACAGTGGTTCAGCAATATTTGGATTTCAACATTAGCTTTACTGCCCCTAAATCTTGGTATTGTTTTTATGTCGATGTCCTGCCCGCCACCGTTTCACCAATCAGAGAGCCCGTGACCCAGGTTGCCAGAACTCAACGCGTTGAGCTAATCTCACTGGTAAAGTACCATGTGGCGCAGAACTAAAAAAGGTCTCGTTATGATTCTCAAATCATTAACGACAAAACAAGGAATAAAACCAGGATTTCTTTCTTTGTGAAAAAGGTGTTGGTTGTAGATTTGTTGTCGACAAAAGTCTTTTCAGGTGTTATGGTCCCAGCTGGATTCCTCTGCATATATGGCAACCTGAGTCAGGGAGAGTGGGACAGGTTTCAGTACTTTTGGCCTGATTTTTACATACTGCTCCTTTAATAATATACATCCATCCATCCATCCCCATGGATGGATGGATGGATGTATATTCTTCCCCTTAATCCATTTCTGGGTCGGGGGGGTGGCAGTCAGAGCTTCACCCAGTACACTTAACACCAGCACCGTAATAATATACATACTAGCTTAAAACTGTGTATATATTATAAAACCACACTTTTTGCTTATCGTTGGTTCCTTTTTGTTAGCAACGAACTTTAATATTTGTCGTCTGCAACTTTTACAGTGTGACCTCAAAATGTGTCTAAATATCTGTCTCATGTCTGTTGTCTGGGCTGTTTCTCATCCCATGCACTGTGATGCCCCTGGTCTTGTCCAGGGCTGTCTAACAAGAAGGACTGTGGTGAGGATCTTTTTATTGTACATAATTATATGATGCACAGACTATATTTTTAACCTTTTTTATCCATAACATGTTTGCACACTTCTGTCTTTTGCACAATCTGAGTGATTCTATCCATTCCAAATGTGACATGTACATTTCTCCTTAAGTCTATCTTATCCTAAAAGTCTACAACATGTATGGACATTTATCAACATTCATGGACATTGGTCTCTCCCTATGAACCAATACATGTGTTCTCTATCCTTTATGTTTTAGCTGTTTGATTCTTTGATCTTTGTTGGCAATTTCAACGGTTTTGTTAAGTCCTCTGAAATAACTTGTGATTTAGAGCTATACAAGAATAAATTGAATTGAAATGAATTGAATAGTTGCAAATTAAATCAACATTCCCATTTTCACTCACTTTGGTTATATCAACCCATTGCACCTCAATCAGCGGATCCAGAATAACATTTGGTGCGAAGATTTAAATTGCGTTCAGTGAGATGTCTGATGGTGTGGACACTTACTATGGGGCTCCTCGGTGATCTCTCGCTCCTGGTAGTACCACACCACGGCGGGGACCGGGGAGCTGATGACGTCACACACCACCTCTGCGGTCTCCCCGTGACGGAACTCCTGCGGCGACTTTACGTCCCGGAACGTCAACCGCTCTGCAATACACACACACACAATCAGAGGTCGGATATGTATTGTGTGAAAACTATTCTGAAAAGCATTGTCGAAAATAAATTAACTGAGTATGACTATATTCCTCTTAAATTGAATACATTTTACAGACTGGTGACAATGTTCAAATCTAGGCTAAAAGCTGTTCTGTTTTGCTGTGCAGATAATAGAAGTACTGCATTTTTAAAATCCTAAATTCTCTCTGGTTTTTTTTAGCCCTTTGAGTTTCTTAGTATATGAAGCGTGCTATACAGATAACCTTGCCCTTCGCGTTTTTGTCCAAATAGTTGTAGTTTTGCAGTTCTATAAGTCTACACATATGTCTTTTCAAAGTCGGTACCCTCAGAACTCAACAAAAAGCAAAACACCATGTCCTTTCTTTTCCGAATGCTCTATTTCAACATAAATATACAACTATCGCCATTTGCATGATTTTCGTTTGAAGCAGCCATTAGTTCATGCGCATCTCTCAGATCCATAAGTGTCTGGTACAATCCTGATGACAAAACACACAACAATCTCCTCATGTGTTATTCATGGCTCCTATAATGGAATCAACACAACTTTAATGATACTACTGTCTAACTTCCCACATACATTATTTCAGTGTGTACCTTTACTGCGACAAAAATCTGCTCGGATGCATTTATGAATACGTACCTCATATAGCAATGGTGACATAAAAAAAAAAAGAAAGTCAGACCTGTTCTTTTATGAGCTTTCCTCACACTGTATATTAAACTGAGATTCAGACGGAAAGCAATTTGACTATTTTGGAGACGACGCACCGGGTTTTGGGTCGTTAAAGCTGCACCAAAAAGACATTGTGGAGAAGGTAAAAGATCCGAACCAATTAAGGGTAGAAAAGGTGTGGACAGATTTTGAAACTGAAATATTTCTGCTGCCATCTGCAAGTTATTTTGAATTTTGTGAAGGTACTAGCCTGAAGAGCTGTAACTTAAACTGGCAGATGTTTGAAAGGAGAATCATTTCAAATCGTCACACAAAAAACACTGTAGACAAAAAACCTTATAGATATAAAAGTATTATTTCTTCTATCCACCCATCTGCTTGTTTCCAGACAAAGCAATAACATTTGTAGACTGGTGACAGCAGGGCAATCTTCCAACAGAGATTTCTTTTTCTTTTCTAATAATTTTACAAACAGTAAAGTCCCATTGAGAATAATAACGTGACATAAGAGTCCTGGACGAGAGGCAGCAAAAGTTACACACAGTTACATACAATTCGGGCGTTCTGCTCTCCCAAAATTTCATCAACTGAGCGGCGCTGTGATCATACAATGGCGAATATGGCTCACGAAAACAACAAACGATTGACAGTGCCTGAATTGCGTGAAAGGTTGAGGCGAAAGGGTATTTGCAGTGTGGGAAAACGAAAGGAGGAACTGTTGTTGCTAGTTCAACGAGCGGATGGTGTTTATGAAGATTTAGAAGAAGATGACAGTGAGCAGAGTGAACGAAAACGGCTGTGTTTTCGGCCACTTGACCCACCGCACGCTTGACATCCACGGATATCGACTCAGTTTTTTATTGCTGTTAGATCGACAATTAGCGGCGGCACACTTGAAGCCCATGATAAAACCGGATTCAACAGAAAATGACGAAAACACTCAACCATTTAGAGAAAATGTGCCGGGCAGAGAGAACCGGAAGTTGCGAAGGCAAGTGTTACCCATAATGCAACGCAAAATTCAGTCGCTCCCCCGCCCATCGGATGGAATTTTGGGAGAGCAGAACGCCCGAATTACAGATTATAAAATCAGAAACGTGCCATCAAGGACGTCTCAAGTCCTCTCAAACTGGATTTAAAAGCAGCGAATGATGAAAAGTAATGAAAAGTTCAGTTCATTTCCAGTCTTTTTGAAACACGTTCCATATCGAAGAAGAAAAAGGTAAAGGTGCACTTTATTGATCCCCGACGTATGCCACCAAGGCATACGCCAGGAGCAGTGGTGGAGCATGTTGATGCTCGGCTTGGTCAGGACTATCAGAGCTGGAGGATTTAACCTAGCGTACATGTTTTTAGTGGTAGAGGAAACCGGAGCACCTGGAGGAAACCTATGCAAGCACGGGGAAAACATGCAAAGGAAGAAGAAGAAGAAGAAGAAAAAGAAAAAGAAGAATCCTCTGCATTTGACCCATCCTGATGCCACCAAGGCTTACGTCAGGAGCAGTGGTCGCAGTAGTAACAGCGCCCGGGAACCCATCTCCAGATGTTGAAGCTTGACTTGGTCAGGACTACCAGAGCTGGAGGATTTAACCTAGCGTACATGTTTTTAGTAGTAGGGGAAACTGGAGCACCCGGAGGAAACCTACACAAGCAAAGAAGAAGACGAAGATGAAGACGAAGAAGCCCTCTCCACTTTACGAACAAAACTCTCTGGTCTTATAGGACGAGCACGTAGAATGATTGACAATTTGGACGACCAATAAGTTTTGATGATCCACCCAGAAGTAAAAAATCCTCCGAGCTGTATTTAGACGTGTCTCTACTTTCCCTTGACCTTGAGTCTTCTTGAGTCTTCTTGAGTTATGTGTAAAGTTGAGTGTGCCACTATAGGGTCATGCTGCGCTCACAACACAGACTGATGATGTAACCTCTCCCTTCACAGCAACCGTTCATCTGCGAGAGCGCTGATTGGTATTGACAGATCTCTCTCTTCAATCACATACAACAAAAGCCGGATCCGGGCTGTTTCCCAGGACACAGTGATGAAACTAAAGCAAAAAAAGACGTCTGTGTACAACTAGTATTCCAACAACCACCTCTGAAATGAGTTTGATTTTGTTTTGGATCAAGAAAGTGTCATTTCCGAGTCCAACCTCCCCTTATATTTGATCGTGTCGTGTGGTGAGAAACGGCGTACCATAACTCAGCGGCAGCCCTCTCTATCAGTCTCCTCTTCAGGCATTAGCATTTGGGTGTGTGATTTATGCAAGGCAGCTCCCAAAAAATGAGCTCTTTCTCTCCGCTCGCTCCCTTCCCTCACGGACCTGATAACGTGTCCAGAATCTCGCAGGCTTCATTCTGGCTTTTGCACTTTGACTCAGCAATGTGTTTGTTGTTGTCCAATTTGACTGCACGCACGGGACGTAGGGAGGAAATGCAGCTTGTTTTGTGCAAAGGTTGGTGTCCCGTTTGTTTCCTGTTTGATTTGGTTTGTAGATACAGAGGAAGGGCCGGGCCATCTTTGCTGTCCTGAGTGACGCCTGGCTGCACTTGAAGCTTGGACTTCTGCTGCTGCTTGTGCAATGATTGTCAAGGCGAGTTCTATGCAAAAGGAAAATAGTTGGGAAAATATTATAATTTGTCTAAATTTATAGGCTACTGCTATGAATATAATACTTGAAAACTGAGAATGACTGGCAACTAAATCACTGCTACTGCTGCTGCTACTACTACTGCTACTCTTGCTACTACTACTACTGCTGCTACTGCTGCTACCACTACTACTGCTGCTACTACTACTACTGCTACTACTGCTCCTACTGCTACTACTGCTGCTACTGCCGCTGCTACTACTACTACTACTACTGCTACTACTACTACTGCTACTACTGCTACTACTACTGCTACTACTGCTGCTGCTACTGCTACTCTTGCTACTACTACTACTGCTGCTACTACTACTACTACTACTACTGCTACTCTTGCTACTACTGCTGCTGCTACTACTACTACTACTACTGCTGCTACTGCTGATTTTACTACTGCTGCTACCACTGCTGATTCTACTGCTGCTCCTTCAACTACTGCTACTACAGCTGCTACTTATAGAATGTACAGAAGGATACACAATATTATTCCTTTTCCCTTATTATTATTATTATCATTATTATTATTATTATTATAACCCCCGTATGCCTGTTTACTCTGAGTAGGGTGTCCAACAACCTATTAGGCTGACTATGTATATAACTAGTTTCCAACTGCAAAGCACTTTTCCAACAATACTTAGAGTTGCAACAAGTAATCAACGCACAAAGACAACTTACAGTCGTGCAAAGATAAATGCTAATTATCTGCATTATCAAGCTCTCAAGCATCTATTATGTTCACTCAAAAAGTTCATTGGGTTTAATTGCATGTGTAAATTGAGATATCACAAGGCTATAGATAAGATTAATTGGCAATGGTTCCCAAGGTGATGGTCATGTCATTCCAGTTGCTTTGACAGATCTGTATCCACACGCTCTGGAAGGGTCTAGCAGCTCTACTCAGTTCTAATCCTGGCACGCCGCTGTTCCGACATTACCACTACAGCTCTGCCAGCCTATATGCGGTGCCCAGGTGATGATAGCCCGGGCCATGTTGCCGTGGTAACAGTGTGAGGTGAGGACAAGGCTATGGCAGGTGTGACTCACGTCGGCTTCAGTAGTACTCACAGACTTTCAGCCAGGGGTGGAAGTTTTTATTTTTTCTTTGAGGCATACGTTTGAGGTGTGCAGAGAAAGGCTCCTAAACTGGCTTTGTATGGGGACATGGACTGGGACCCCTGTGAAGCCAGGTGCCCCAGGGAGGTGGTGCACTTATGGAACAGGCTGATTCATGTGCAGTATTTACCTGTTACCTGGACTTTGTAACTGCGGTGTGCAAATGGACCAGGTATTTGTGGAGGCAGATGTATAATTTATTCACAACTTGCCATGAAGCATCAGACAGGAAGGAAGTGAAGGATTGTAAAAATCAGAGGAGGTATGTTTTAATGCAGTATAATTTTGGTCATTGATTGACTGCGGAACCTTCCGCAGTCAACCATTGGTTTTGTATTTCTTTATTCCGTCATTTTTTTTGACACGTTTCACAGCTTTCACATTTTCAACAATTTCCACAAGTTATACATCAAAACGTTCCACATGTTTGGGAGATTATTGCTATTACTTTTGGGACTTCAGCGATTTCCGGTTTTTCCGCAATCGGACAAAAATCTGCATTGAGAATTCTGCAATGCATTTTAATA